TGATCAGGCAAGTTCAGCTTATTGTAGACGCCAAGACAGCTTCCGTTTTGAGGACGTTCAAAGGCTGGGAGGGCTTCAATCATGAGAAACACTGTCTACGTATTTTGCGACCGATATGGGGACTGAAGGACGCACCGAGATTGTTTACCTTGAAGTTGGCACAGGTTATGAATGCGACGCACCATATTCCAAGCAAGACAGACAACAAGCTGTACATGAGGCACGACAACCAGGATAAGTGTATTTCATTGGTTTGCGGTCATCTGGATGACTTAAAAGGATCATCGACGACTTCAGCACGAGAAGAATTATGGAAGGCATTGGAGACTGCATTTGGCAAGTGCAGCAAACATATGAACAAGTTCACGTATCTGGGAGTGGAGCACGAGCAGACGACGGACAAGAAGTCGATCTACATACATCAGAAGGGCTACATCGCGGAGTTGCACATGATACCCTTGCCAGCTCATTCAGCTCACCGACCAGATGACGATCTCAGCATAGAATTGCACACCTTGGCAAGGAGTCTCTTGGGAGCGTTGTCATGGGTAACTCAATCAAGACCAGAAATACAAGTTTTCGTTGGACTATGTCAGCGCAACGCCAAACAGCTCAAGCACAAACACGCACAGGTCTTGAATCTAAGTTTGAAATGGATCCAGACACATCATGCAGGAGTTCGATATTCACAGATGATGGGAGACACAGCTTTATATTGTATTGTGGATTCAGCTTTCAGAGCAGATGAACCAGATTGCCTAGCACTTCGAGCTGACATCATGGGATTGTGTCAGCACACCAGCACGAAGATCGGAGGCAAACTACACATGTTCGTAACGACCAGCAAGAAGCAATCCAGAGTGAATAGGAATACATTCAGCGCAGAAGCAGGAGCAGTTGGAGACGCAGCATCTATGTGCATTGTATTGGCAGGTCTCCTACATGAAGTTGACAGAGGCTCGCAGACGGCTACCCAACTGGCGACACATGCAGAGCGAGGTGGTTTCAGCAGGAAGATCATAGTCTTCACGGATAGCGAGTCATTTTTCAAAGCATGTACGGCCACCGAGGTCCAACTTCCGACTGAGCGACACTTAGCATACACAGTGATGAAAGTGCGAGAGTGGTTGGACCGTGGCATCATAGCAGAATTGATATGGATAGATACGAGGGACATGCTGTGTGACGGACTCACCAAGGGCAGTATCAGTAGATTCGACGTCATGAACGCATTGAATCAGGGTGAATGGCGACCACAGCACGAACCCAAGAGATGGAGTTCGAAGTCCCAGACCGTCGACAAGAAGAAACGCTGAACGACGATTGCCACCTGAAGAGCATCAGAGTGACACAGTTCATCGATCATCTGTGGAGCGTTATAGTGCAAAAGTATGGCCTCCACGAGTGGGACGGCTACTGCGAGAAGATCAAGTACATTAGGCCAGCTTGTTGTCATTTGTTTTGTTGTTGCCTGCCATCGCCACCGTCTTGCCGCCGCGTATCACACGTTATTGCTTATGCGTAGTTGTAATAATTAGTTCCTCCTCACTTTTGTTGCCGTCAAATTAGTCATGGGCCACAGAGCCTACTGCGTAGATTAAGCCATCACGAGAGTAAGTTGTTACATACCTCACACGTTCCTCTCTCGGGGCCCTCTAGAGCTCACCGGGGGCCCGGCGAATTCACAGCCCGTACTGTAATGTACTGGCTCAAGACGCGTCATAGTTGTGTACTGTGCGAGTGATCGATACAGAAAACACAGCCTTACTGCATTGCGCCGCCATCGCTGTCGGGAGGAGAGGAGTCATATCACGTGCCACTGCACGCGTTCCTCCACTGCGCTCCGCCCTCCCCCGCCTGCCTCCCTCCTCCTCCTCCTCCTCCTTCTCCTCCTCCCTCCGTTCCGCGGTGGGATCTTGGATCGTAAGCCCGTGGAGCCAAGACCTCCACCCCGCGACGCACGGAGGCACTCACGGCTGCAAGGTCGTGCAGACGTAGCCATCCCCGCCCCTGGGCCAGTCGGCCTTGGTGGGACGAAACCAGTGAGGCAGGCAACTCCAGGGGCGGTCACCCCTGGAGTCGCCGGCTGGGTGGAAAACAGAGAGAGAGAGAGAGAGAGAGAGAGAAAAGGGAGAGGAATATTATATTCTGTACGAGGAGAGGGCTATCTCTCTATATGTATACATACACATGTATATTTTATGTATATATATATATATATATATATGTGTATACATATGTATATGTAGAGGGAGAGAGAGAGAGAGAGAGAGAGAGAGAGAGCGAGGCAAGTGAGTTGAGGTGTGCGGCGTGGGAGCTGGCAGGCAGACGTAGGCTGGCCTATACTGTTCAGCGTGCTGCCGAGGTGAGGGCTCAATGACGGGCGTGCGCGGCAGCAGCCACGCTCGCCCCAATGGATGGCGCAAGGGCCTCTTCGCCGCCCACAGGAAGCCCCACCGACACGACCCCCACTACAAGGGTACTCTCGCCCACCGAGGTGGTCGTAGGGACAGTGGATGGGGTTTCCAACGGGGACGGGGAGGTTTTCGCCAACCAGCGGCGGTGGTGACCTCGCGGTTGGCGTTGTCCGTCCCCCTTGTGATACCACCCCCTCCCAAGATGAGATCCGAGGTAGAAGCGAGGCGTGCAGCAAAGAGATAACAGAACTGATATCTCCAGCGGCGGTGGCGGCCTTGCGGTTGGCGTTGTCCGCGAGGCGTGCAGCAAAGAGATATTGGAACTGATATTGCAAATGAAGAAGGAGAGTGGGAGGTCGACGTCGGATATGCAGTTCGAGCGGCTGTTAGCTCTTCCCCCCCCCAGGGGCCCCGAGGTGGCGATGCGGCTGGTGAGGCGATGCTCTGGGAGGCCAGAGGAATGCGTACACACCGGTCGTTGAAAGTAGGTATCTGTCGATGCCCCTATCCAAATCTATGTTAGGCGCTCTCCTGCTTCAATGATTGAATGGCCTCCCCTTTTCCGTCCTTCTTAGGGGCTGGACGGACCCCAATCTATTTTCAATGCCTTTCTACTTCATGTTTCTAGTTACTTCTCCCGACCGACGAGTAAGTGTGAGTCTCGGCCGCCCCCGCCGCGTGCCTGGCCCTGCTCTGAGCGGCCCGGCCTCCGTCTCCCTCCCTCCACCGCCAGGCGTCTCCTCCTCCCTCCCTCGGGCACCGCGGCCTAACTCGCGCTCGTTTGTACTCCAACGCCCTATCCGCCAGCGCAGTCCCTCTGCCAAGCCGCCGACGTAAAAAAAAGTGAGTCTCGGCTAACCCACGACCGCCGAGAGTCCGTTGCGGCGTGGCTGCTGCCCGCTGCAGTCGTCGGCCGACGCCGCGACCGCCGTCGGCTGCTTTCCCCTCCCCTACCCCCCCTGCAAGCGACCGTTCCCAGTCCAGCCTGTCTCCCACCCACTGTTGATGGGCCTGTTTTCCACCACCACCACCACCACCACCACCACCACCACCACCACCACCACCACCACCACCACCACCACCACCACCACCACCACCACCACCACCACCACCACCACCACCACCACCACCACCATATGTTGGAGGGGGAAAGGAGGAGGACGAGCAGGAGGAGGACGAAGAGGAGGAGGAGGAGGAGGAGGAGGAGGAGGAGGAGGGGGAGGAGGAGGAGGAGGAGGAGGAGGAGGAGGAGGAGGAGGACCCCCTCCCCCTCCAAGTTATGGTGGTGGTGGTGGTGGTGGAAAACAGGCCCATCCACTGTTGCGACAGTGAACGGCTGAGAGCTGGGTAGGTGAGGCTATGCAGAAGGGTCCAAGCACGGGGCGGCCGAGCTGTGAGGCGGCGTCCACGGGAGTCTCGGCCGACGCCGCGACCGCCGAAGATTTGTTGTGGCGGTGCTGCTACCCGTGGCAGTCTCAGCCAACGCCGCGAACGCTGACGGTTTAAGGGGGGAGCTGGGATTACAAAGTGGGATGCGGCAGAAGTTGGGCGAGAGATAGGGTAAGGTGGGCGGTATTTGCTGCGTTGGCTGGCGTGCGAGGCGACGGCCCTGGAGGGGTAGGGCGCGGTGTCGGTCCTCTGCTTGGAGTGCGATTCGAGGTTGATTTCCAGGGCGGTGGCGTAGTTCCTGATCCACTCGCCGTTGATCCCCATGGTGCTGCCACTGTGGGAGCTTGAGGTGGACGTGGTGGCTGGTGTGCGCTGTGGTGCGCCTAGAGCAGTTGCCGAGCTGAGTCGAGCTGGTGCTTCGTGTCCTGGTCGAACAGGTCGCGTGTTGATGCTACCCGTAGCAGTGTGCGTGCTGCTGCTCGTCGTTCACGTTCTCGACGATGCCAAGCTGGGTTGACTGCTGACGTCGTGGCCGTGGTGGCCGTGCAAGTAGTGCTGGTGCTGCGTAAAATGTAGTTGCCGAAACCGAGGTAGTTCTCCGTCGTGGCCTGGTAGCTCTGCAGGTGGTAACCTGAAGGGTTCTGATACCCAAGAGCGAGAACACGGAACGGATGTAATTTTGTGGCGGATGTATTGGATGTAAGAGTTAGAATATAGGTATCCCGGTACATGGCCGCTTTGACGGCGCACTGCCACTGACACGCCTCAATCTCTTGGCGGTTTGTGGTTTCCACCCCCTCCTCTTCCTCCTCCTCCTCCTCCTCCTCTTTTTGTTAGCCGGTAGCTCCCATACTTGGAGTTGCAAGCCCCCGGCAGTGGCTTTCCGTGGAGCCCTTTCGCGGATCTCCGATCAGATCCTCCTCCTCCCCCACCTACCCGTCCTCCACCTCCCTCCTCCTTCATCCTCCTCGTCGTCCTCCTTGTCGTCGTCCTCCTCATCCCACCCGGGAGAGGGGAGTCACACGGCACCGG